TAGATATACGCAGATTTGCTGCCGTTACATATTTTGAAATACATACGAAGAAGAAACAAGTATGTATAATAAAAAATATACTTATTATTTTGAAAAAAACTACACCTGTTTTAAGCTCTTACTCTAAATTGTCATGCAATGTGTTAACTATGAAGCCCAGTGAAACACTAAAGCTACTTTTAAGGTTTTCAATTACAAATTAGAATGTGTAATTAATAATAAAAAAAAAGATAATATTGTTGCCTCATTTTGTACTCTGAACTGCACTTAAAAGAAAGTCAACTAGTTTGTGGGTGGTCTAGCATATAAATAAAAAAGTTCAAATCACAATGTCCGAACTAAAAAAAAAAAAAACAGCTACTGTGACTATATAAAATAAAGTGTTTACAAATCATCAGCAAATAGACTTTGTTCCGTGGCCTGGAGAAAGACATCCGTGAATGAGCGGTGCTATACAAAAATTCAAGCAACGCCCAATCAGACATTTTTTTTTAAGTCGCACCTCAGATGTCAAAGTTTCATTTTGCATTTTTGAATCTTAAATACAGATTTTGGCCTATGCATATATACTTTGTTATATGCATATATACTTTTTTTTATATGCATATATACTTTGTTATATGCATATATACTTTTTTATATGTATATATACTTTGTTATTTTCATATATATTTTTTTATATGTATATATACTTTGTTATATGCACATGTATATTTTTATATGTATATATACTTTGTTATATGCATATATATATATATATTATATGCATATATACTTTGTTATGTGCATAGGGAAAGTGCAATATAGTTTTAAATAAAATACTTGTGCAGGTGTTTTATTACTTGGCAAATTGAAACAATGAACATATAAAAGTCGTAGTCTGCTGGTAGCTGATATACTTATTTCTGAATGGTGGCAGAAGTCAGTATTCAAGCACGTTTGCTATGATTTCGAATGCTTATTTTCTAGGCACACGTGGACTTCCAACTGAGAAGGATAATGTAACACAATCTCGCCCCTATTGCCCCAAGTCTTATTAAATTGACGGTAACAGAGGTGAGATTTGGCGGTAATAGGTGTAAAATTGTGTTACATTATCCTTCTCGGTAGGAAGTTCATGTATGCCTGGAAAATCAGCATTCGAAATCTAATTCGCTGTGAATGAAAGCCAAAGTTTCGAATTTTTACAGTTCGGGTTTTATGACAATTGCTGATAAACGTTATCGAAGCAACTGAAGTTCGCTACTTTACGTTTTTAACGTACTAAGCTAAATAAATATCAGTAACTAGCGCTAACCTATAGGTGAAAAAAGTTCTGGTCAATTTGAAATAATTGAAATTAAGATTTTAAAACCTTACTTTTATAACAGGCAACTGAGAAACCGAGGGGGGGGTTAGAATTTAACAGATGCTTATGCTTTTGGGTGGTAAAGGTAAAATCGGCAGAGATTTTCCCATATTTTAGTTAAAGTAAAAATGTGGATTTAAAATGCCTATTTTAAAGATATTACAAACACTCACTTAATTAAAAGATTATTGATACATAACACTTCCAACGAAAACCTGACCTCAGTTCATCGCCTGCCTAGTGGCTGAGGTAGTTTTGTGTCAGTGACTCGTTGAACGATGTCTGATCAAAACATGAAGATAAGATTTTCATTTTTTGAGGCAGGCATCCAGGCTTCCGACACTAGAAAACAATTCCTATCTTCATCTAGCTTTTCCCAGACTAAATGAAGTAAATTTTAAAATCCGGGGAAAAATCCATTAGATTAACAAAAATACAAGGCGAATAACTGGTTTATATTAACTACCGGGTTGTTGAGTTTCAATGACGACATCAAAGTGTGGGTGTTCATTCAGGTAATATAAGTTTATATAGTAAGCCAGTGATTATCAGGGCGGTGCAGGTGGACCTCCGGTGGTCCATATAGCATTTCTAGCGGTCCACAGAAAATTCGTAGCCATAAAAAACAGTTTGAAAAAAAAAAATTCAAAATTTCAACACCACTGCTTCTACGTAAGAATGCATTACTGAATACATTTCTCATCTTAAAGGTCTTCATGTAGGCTTTGAGAAAAGATATAATGATCTATTAAAGATGGATTATCTACTTTGGTTTGTTGGCCTAGAAAATTATGAGCCAGGAGATGAAAATGTTGAGTTGGCTGAAATGTTGCTGGACTTCAAAGAGAATGCGAAACTGAAAAGAAGTGTTGACAAAGAAGATGTCTTTGCCTATATATCGATAAAAGGACTCACGCCCAAATATTTTTCAATGTTTAGAAGCAAGCATCATTTCTTTTCCTACCACATGGATGGTGGAATCTGGATTTTCGGCTGTTGTGGATGTTTTCAGTAGAAAAAGAAATAAATTAGATCTCAACAGCAGAGGAACTATCAGACTAAGACCGAATAACATCATCAAAATTGATTATGTCAGAAACACCAAGATCAATGTAGTTACTAGCTGAATGAACTACGGCTGAATGACATCATCAAAATTGATTTTGATATCCTGTGTTTATCCTTGTTTTCTAAAATAAATTTTAATGTGTAAATAGACTATATTGTCTTTTCATTGAGTATTTTAGTGTGAAAATTGAACAGCCTAAAAGTAAAAGTAGAAATGGTCCATTTGAATTTCTTTAAGAAAAAATGGTCCATGGGCTGAAAAAGGTTTAGATGCATTGCAGTAAGCTACAGTCTGTGTGTGTGTCACTAAGTACATCACTCTGTATATAATGGCGATTTATTAAGCATAGCACAAGGTTGAAAGTATGGAGCACCCAGTAAGGATCGAACTCACTACTCAGTCGCAATTTACTTAGGGAGAGAAGCTTGTTAGCAATTGCACCACGTCGAAGTGCCCAACTTCATATAAAATCGATGTTTTATAAGTGCATTTGAATTAACACTGGGCTTTTAAAATGTTTTATTTGTTTTATGTGTGTTTTATTTGTTTTAAATGTTTTTAATTTTATTTCTTTTAAATGTTTTATTTGTTTTATGTTTGTTTTGTGTTTTGTTTTCTTTTAAATGAAAAATTTGGCATTTAAAATAAATAAAACACCATCAGTAAAATGGGAAATAATAAATACAAGAACTTGTAGAACCTGAGATGACCCAAGCCATAAAGGGCTTAGGTCCTCTCAGGTTCTACAAGTTCTTGTAGAAAAAAATGAAAAACTTCACATTATCAAGTTTCTAAAAAACAAAAATTTATTAAATCAAAGAAATGAAATAACGGTTTTCTGCAGACACCATTAATTATTCGCCTTAAAAAATTAGTAATTTATAAATGGATAGAATATATATATATATATATATATATATATATATATATATATGTGTGTGTGTGTGTGTGTGTGTGTGTAAACGATTGGAGAAATTTGAGTTGCCTTGGCGTTATTTTTATTCTTCATTTATCTTACGTTTTATAAGCCCTTAACTTGTTTTGATTATTTTTAATTGCTAATTTTATCATAGTTGGAGTTTACTAACGACGACTGTGTTTCGTTCTATGTATCATCATCGTTGTCAGAACTCGTTGCCGAATATAATCAGCTGCTCATCGAAATTTCCTTCTGATGTTGGATCTGAAGCGACACATTGTAGGGTAGGTTCAGGGGGATGGAGAGCTCTGGTTTTTCTTCTCTTTAATTTGTCTTCTGTTGTTTTCGAAGGATATTTTTTCGTGAACTGCGCCTCTTCAGTTGGTTCTTTAGACGTCAAAAGTAGAAAAGTCTTCGAGAATGAAAGGGCTGTGAATTGTTTCAGGTGGCCCATGGGTCGCCACTCCATTGACACATACACTTCAGCTAATATCATCCACTGCGTTAAACCAAGTAGGTTCATGAGGACAGTTTGCATCAGGCTGCCGACTTGTTCTGTTATATATATATATATATATATATATATATATATATATATATATATAACACACACACACACACACACACACACACACACACACACACACACACACACACACACACACACACACACACACACACACACACACACATATACACACGTATATATATATATATATATATATAAAAACTTTGCAGGATTTTTTTTTTCGGGATCTGTTCGAATGCCCATTTTCAACGCATCTCCTGTCAACTGGGATTACTAACACTTCATAATCTTCCTACACCCATTTACCCAACATCTGAGCAAGTCTAATCAAGCGTCTCTCACTGTGGAGTGGAGCTAACGAACCGAATTTGATTCTCTCTATGAAGAATTATTCTGTATGTGGATACACTTGTATGTAGCACACATACACACACACACATACATATATATGTATGTATATGTATGTATGTAAAACAGTGTATATGTAAAGGTGTTCTTGTTCTGCGTCTGCTGAAACAGTAAGTAAAGAATAAAAGAGCAACAGCTGCAGGCTCCTCTGATGGTCAAAAAAGCAATTAACCGCTAATTAAATTCATGCCGATGGCGCAACGGGGAAGAAGGAGCGTTATACTTGATAGGTTGGGCTAAATGCAGTGTAGAAAATCTTAGAAAAAGGCTTTCAATGGTATGTATCTTTTTCTTTTCTTTTCTTTTTTGGTGGGGGTGATATTTGCCAAAAGATATTTCTCTGCTCCATCCTACTCCGAAACCAAACACTATCCAATTCCTGAAGAAAGAAGAAAAAGTTCCCCAACAATTAGTTTTGCGGAAAGGGGTGGCTCCTTCCTTCGTATTTTGAGTTCTTGTATTTTTTCTCTAAAACGATTCATCATCATTATTATTATTATTATTATTATTATTGATAATAACAATAATCGTTTATCTCAACATTATTCCTTTTTTATTTAACTGCCAAAGTAATCTATTTTAGATTTACTAAGATTACTTTGGGTTAAGACAATAGTGTTTGGCTCCATTCTTCTAAGGGGAGAGAACCCGTGTAGCCATAAAATCAGTATTTAAATCCCTGTTTTTTTCCTTTGACAGCAATGAGAAATCCTTCATTATTTTAGACATGAATCAAAGGTTCTTTCTTTCTTTCTTTCTTTATTTATTTATTTATTTATTTATTTATTTCCTTCCTTCCTTCCTTCTTTCCTTAATTCCTTCTTTCTTTCTTTCTTTCTTTCTTTCTTTCTTTCTTTCTCCACCTAACAGCTTGGTTTAAACGATTACCATTGATGTCAAATGTGAACAGTACTATTTTCCTTGTCCTCACACACCCTTATTTTATTAAATGGTGCGTTTGATCGTTATGCAAATTGCCCAAATCTGATTGACGTATGCATGCCCCCGCCAAAAAAGTGACATTTCGAAAGAATACCGACACAAACATGCATATACACATAATATATGTTCATGTTATCTATTCGAACTCATATTAAATTTCTTTGTAGTTCTTTATATATATTAAAATTCTTTATCTGGCACAGGGGCGCAATCACTAAGACCCCAGTTTATACAGCATTCTTTCCTATGAGCTTGTTAGCGACTACACTGAAAGCTTCCACTTTTGGACATATATAATTTAAAACATGATTTTATGCTTTGTTAGTTAAGTTTGATGTCATTTTGAACTTTGCTTTAAAAGTATTATACTAAAATTAATTTAACTAGTATTTTTGATGATCACTGAAAGGCCACCCATCATCAGTACTCTCTCTCACTTTCTCTCTTTCACACAGAGTGACAAAGAGACAAAATTATTGAAATACTATCTCTCTCTACCTCCCTCCTTCCCTCCCTACTTCTCTCTCTCCCTATATATATATATATATATATATATATATATATATATATATATATTATTTATTCGAATTATAACATAAATATGAAAAACTACAAAAATAGCCATTTTGTTTCAACACTTCTGGTGTCTTATCAATGATGGTGTTTCAACACCATCACTTGATAAGACACCAGAAGTGTTGAAACAAAATGGCTATTTTTGTAGTGATTTTATAACATATTTATGTTATAATTTTCGAACAAATAATTATATTTGCTAATACTCTGTATTGAGCACTCTTTTAAGAATAGTATTTGTTGGTTATTGAAATTTATTCCGTATACACCAATTCTATATTTGTGTGTATACATACATACATACATATATATATATATATATATATATATATATATATATATATATATATATATATATATACATAAAAATGCATATACCATTATTACCTGGTCTGGTAAAAATGATAGTGATAAGTATTTTTGTTGTTGTATTACACTTGTAAAATATCAAAAACTTTATGTTGCCCTGCATATTTCTTGTTTGTGTCTTTACTGTTTCCAATATTAAGCTAAGCATAACATTTTATTCACCAGTATAAAAAATTATGTTAAAAAATGACTCTTTGGTCATTTCCACTATTTAGAGCAAAGACATTTGTAATTAATGTGCTGTTCAGACGGGACTTTTCTTTTATAAGACTTGCTTCTGAGCCTGATTGTGGCGATGCAAGGTCTGGTTCAGAGTAATTAAAAGAGGAATGTTCTGGAAGAAAAGGCCAGAGAAGAGAAAACCTAGACATTATTTTCAACCAATCAAACGAGCCTAATTTAAAACCTGAAGCAACTTTGAAAAGTAGTTTATTGAACCGCCCGAAAAATTTATAAGGAAGGCCGTTATCCGATTTAGTCCTTATTCCTTACGATTCTGTTTGCGAGGGAGAGATGCAGGTTAGCAGATCAAATATCTTCAGAAGTGAGTTGAGAAAAGAGTCTCTTAGGTACGCAGTTATAAGCAAACAATCCGAAATAACAGATAACTTGAGCATATTTGTTCGAAATAAGCCGATAACCAAACCAAATTCAAAAAAAAAAAAAAAAAAATACAAACTCACTCTTTCGATTACAATTAAAAAGGCAGTACCTACTTCTGTAAAATTTTTCACAAACGCCAATCATTCATCAACTCGTTCCATCCAAGAAACGGGCGCTTCCCCTATTGTGTTGATCTATCAACCCCAGAATAGCTCAACAAAAATTTGAAAACACTTTGTGAACTTCACTTTCACTTTATCAACGACATTTATAACTTCTGCTACAACTATAGGAACATTTTTTTCTACGTAGCTTAATTTTTTGGAGTAAACAAATTAATATTTTGAACGGCCCTTATACGTATATTCCTTTTCACATAAAATAATATTGTAAATAAACTAATGCAATTTCTTTCTGCTTCCATTTCACATTGATCAAGAGTCTCACCTTTTTATTATGCGCTTAAAGAACTAATTTTTATTCTTTCTTTCTTTTCTGCACACGGCAAGGGAAACCCCCATACCGTCAAATTATGGAATTTTATTTTTCAAGTCTAACATAGCATAAAATTCCATTTCTATCTCTTCAGAAAAGTTCGCTGTACAGAAGTGAACAATTCCTCCATAATTTCCGATGACATCGAGAAGTGTTACTTACTTACACGCACACACCCGCACACGCGTACACACACACACACACACACACATACACACACATATTTATATATTTATTCATAGTTGACGGCCTTGGGTATCGAAAGACTTTATACCAAAGTTACTGAGTGGTTAAAAGTACACTTTGCTTGAAGGTGGTTTTCTCAGTAATAGAGGCGCGCAGTTTCGCTCTCTGCCGAAAGCATATTTTCTTTTTATTTTATATATATATATATATATATATATATATATATATATATGAACATACTGTGTTTTATATATTTGAATAAAAAAAGCACTGTGTTAGTGTGTGTTTATTTATTGCGCTCAGGTTAGCACAAAGTCACACAAGTGAATTACTTAGTGAGGTTTGAACTCATTACACAAGCTAATTAATTGGTCTACAAATTTAGCTTACTAATTCTCGATCTACGGTAGGTTACTTATTTATTAAATCTTGTTTAATTTGAAAATTAATGACAAGCAAAATATATATCATCACCAAATTAGTTTTAACAAAAGAAAGAAAAGCAAATGGAAAATTCTAAACATTTTTTTTTCAAACTCAAAGAAAATTGCTCATACATTGACTGTTCCCGAGTTAATAACGAGAATAAAAAAAATAACATTATTTACATTCGACATTGGTCAAAAAGTTCGGCTTGCTTGAGAGAAACTTGTATTGAAAAAAAATACTACATTTATATATCCATTCTTTTCTCCTTGTGACTGAGATTTAGGATAGGGGAATGTGAATGAAAGAAAAAAATATGTAAATTAATAACAAACAAAATACATATCGTCGCAGGAAAACATCAAAATCAATCAAGTGCCAATATTTAAATATCTAGGAAATGTTTTTAACAGAGGACAGAAAATGTGGTATCCAAATCCGAAGGCGCATTAGTATAGAGTAAGATGCCTTTTAGAAGCTAAGAAACAAGAACACTTGATTAGAAACAATGAAAAGAGATCTAAACGGTTATATAATATTGCTCCTCTTATATGGCAATGAATGCTGGACAGTTTCCTTCAAAATGAAGAGGGGACTTGAGGTAACAGAAATGTAGTTTTACAGAAGAATACTGAGAATATCATGAACTGAACATTTGAGTAACAAGGAAGTTTCAAAACACGGTCGAGATGTTATGTCCATGTTCATAGTTGATATTATTGTGTTGTTTTTATTATTTCATATATATATATATATATATATATATATATATATATATATATATATATATATAAGAGCAGGTTTTCGTCCTGATGAGATGAACATAATTAAAGTCTCCATCTTCTTATTATCATTATAATGCTCTGTATACATTAAGCTCTCCCTGGATTTATATCCTCGTTGGAATTATCCTTCCAGTCACAAACAGGTAAAACGTATATATATATATATATATATATATATATATATATATATATATATATATATATATATATATATATATATATATATAATAAAATAACTTTCATCGTGCGCCGACTTACCAAGCGTTCTTTCTCTCAGTCGTGGTTGAATTTACCTGCAAAGAATTCAAAACTTTAGTGAAATGTTTATTAACACAAAATTTTGAATAATCATGGCATTTTGAAAATATCAAAAATTAATAAAATGAAATGGCCTCAAAGAGTGTGTGTGTGTGTCGGGGGGATCAGATTAAATTAAATAATTTAGTTCATTGATTACTGATTTTTTTTTAATTTTAAGAACGTTTAGTTCGTTATTATCCACGTATTTTGAAAGCAGCAGGTAACAAAGTGATTTAGCAAACGTAGCTTATACGTGGCACAAGGCTGAAAGCATTGAGCACCTAGTGAAGATCGAACCCACTACCCTGTCGTAACTGATCTAACGAAACAAGTTTGTTCACCATTCAACCATGTCGAAGTTCCCGTAGGCAATGGCGGATTTACATATGGGCAGAAGCCCGGTAAGTGGGGGGGGGCTAAGACTAGACAGATTCTCCAAGATAAACTCATATATATATATATATATATATATATATATATATATATATATATATATATATATATATATATATTATGACAATAGCGGAGATTTATTTTCAGATTTAATGAGTCTCCTTTGAATTAATTTGAAATAATTTAGTTATTCTAGGCCCCTCTAGTTGGAGTGGATCTTTTAAATTAAATTCGATGTGGCTCTTTCAAAGGACCCCATTTAGATTTTGATACACCTTTTTTATATAAATATAGATTTTTGAAGTAGCGTAATGAAGGAACCCCAAATTCTATTAGCCCTCTTAAGGCCAAAATCCGGCCCTGCCCGTAAGTATGAAATAATTAAGAATGAAATAGATATACCTTGAAGAATCATTAATCATATGATAACTATGTTCGTATCTGTCATAATCGGATGTATAAACCTTACACACCCACCTGCATAAACGTGTGTATGTGTGTTTGTTAATCACTTTTTGTCATCGTCCGATTTTTTTGATGGTCAATCTATCCAGATGAATCATAAAAAAATGTTCACCGTTTGCCGCGCCCTGTTGCGAATTTACACTCGAAACAGAAATAATCACTTTGCTTTTAGTTTTATCTTCTGTTTGTTCCGACGAGAAATTACTACACGCTGTTAGTGAGACACTTTACTCTGCCTTGTTTACTTTAGACTGACGAATCTTTGAAATGAATGAGAGACTACCCAGACCAGAATTCTGCGGCGGCCCACCCAAATTTCTCCAATTTCCGCCTAATCACCATTATCACCAACAGCAGCAGCCATCACTGTTTGCGAATATATATATATATATATATATATATATATATATATATATATGTATGTGTGTGTGTGTGTGTGTGTGTGTGTGTAAGTGTGTGTGTGTGTTTATTTCTGTGTGCTGTCTATATTCCAGTGAAACAAAAAGTTCTTTCATTTTCTGTTTAATCTTACATGCTGATCAAATGAATGCCTTTTATTGAAAATTCGTTTCGTTTATTTATTCTTCCGGATCGGAACTGTCATCAGATCTTGCCTCCTCCTCCCTCCCTCCCTCCCTCCCTTCTTCTTCTTCTTCTTCTTCTTCTTCTTCTTCTTCTTCTTCTTCTTCAGTTATTATTTTTCTATTTTTTACTCAAATGTATCAAAAGAATTTACTGTTTTTTTTAACATACATTCACTTCAAGGCCCATTTCATGTAATTCACTATTATTATTTCCTTTGGTTTTGTTGTATGCACATTTCGTTCCGGGTCCCAATAAAGGGACCTAAGATCAAAAATAGCTTCATGACATTTTCCACTGATCATTTTTGTAAAAAAAAAAAAACTAAGCTCACATACATTTTACATAGATAAAGCCCTTCGTAAGGTGTGAGCTGTACTTGTGAGTACAATTTTTTGTATTTCTTTAAAGGCATGGGCTTCCAGGAATCCCTTCAATGAGTCTATCGGAACTTTTTCCAATCAATCCGAGGGCTCCGGCTATAACTGGAATTACTGATGTAAACATGTGCCAAATTCTCGAGATTTCTATTTAAGATCCTTTTATTTTGATAGATTTTTTTAAGTTACAATCTTCATGGACTGCCATGTCAATAAGACATTCTGTTTCTGTGACCTTTGATAACGATGTCTGGGGGATTAACTTTAATTGTTCTGTGTGTAATGTAAAGTCCCATAAAATTGGTACAGGTTCTATCCCTGGAGCCAGGTCTGGGTGATGTTCATACCAGTTTCTTGCGGTAGAAATTGCGTAGAAAAAGTATTTTCGATTTTTACAGAACTTCACACCAATGTTATTTTATGTACATACCTCATGACTATGAGACCACTATATTATTATTATTATTATTTATTAATAGTATTTTCGCTTTTTAGTTTTTACAGACGTTTACTCAAAAATCACGTTTCATCTAAAAGTATGACATTTCTGTATTATTATTATTATTATTATTATTATTATTTGATTTGATATCCTTTCCGACGCTTACATGTTTCGGTCGTGCGATGATAATCATATCTCAGTTTCTACCCGCAGCTTAGAGACGCAACACATTCCCAAGCCCGTGATCTGTTCCAATCAGTGCTGCTGCCTGCGTACTCCCAATGATGCGAGGTATTCCCAGCGTGTCCTTCCTAGTAATAGAGATTCCTGGAAATAGCCCCAAGTGCTGCTTGGTCTATTTCTCTGAGTGGCCCTGCCAAGTCTTGTGCCTCTTTGCCTGCCCCGCCTTCACGATGTTCGCATCCCAAGGCACCGCAACGTCCATCAGAATCCATTCTTGACGCCTCTTGTACACAAGTGTGATATCAGGGCGGGCAGTCTACAAGCGCTTGTCAGTCAAGATGGGCGTATCTCACATGAGCTTCACCCGTTCATTCTCGGCTACTAACGGTGGTGAATGATCGTACCACTTTTCTGTGCACTCGTGACTATGCTTCTAACATAGTTACCAATTATTATTATTAATGCTATTTAGCCGTACCTCGTGTTCCAGATTCTATAATAGCAGATACAAGTATTGCTATTCGGGCAGTTTTATTGAATTACAGTATAACCCAGATATAAGAGACCCGGATATAAGAGAAACCCAGATATAAGAAAGATTTTCTCTGGTCCCAAATTAGAGCCTCTGTTAATGTATATAAAATAGACCAAACCCGGATATAAGAGAAACCCGGATATAAGAGACTTCTTCTCCGGTCCCGACAACTCTCTTACATCCGGGTTACACTGTATTTTAAACTAGACCTCAACGCGGCTAAAGTTGATGAGAGGATTTGTTAAGTGTGAAGAAATCAGACAATATTTGAACTTATTGTCCAATACTAGTTTAAGTGTTCTCAGGAGGTTTACTTACCTTTAAATAAAAGCCAGAAGTGGATGAAAATTGATTTTCGATTATGACACTTTAGATGTAAAGAATCCGATAATTGGGACTTGAAAATCTTTCAGGATAGTTTTGATCTTCAGAAGATACCTTATACGCAGTATTAGATAAGCTTAAAAATTAAAACTGGCAGTTGATCGCGAAAATGTCCTTCAATCAGTTGTTAACTGGGGCAAGAAATGGCTTGTAAATTTTAACGCCTCCAAACTGAAACTGCTTTCAGTAATCTTAGAGAACCATTTTTGCCATCCATTATCATGGCTGATGTTAATCTCTAGGATATTTAACTCTTTGTGCCTTCTTGGTCTCACGTCCTCCACTGACAGGAAGTGTAATTATTATATCGAATCAATTGCAAAGTCTGTTGCTAGGAAAGTTGGTTCACTGTATCGTGCTACACAATGCTACTCGTCAGAATCCATCTTGAACGTTTAAAAATCTACCATTAGTTCGTGATTGCTGCCATATTTGGTTTGCTACCCTTACTATATATTACAAGATCCTCAACACAATCGAAAGAAGGATCTGTGATGCTATCGTTCCTGGTCTGGCATCTCGACTGCAGTCACTTTTTCACCTTCGTGACATGACTTCTTTTCTTTAAATATTTTAATGTCTATTGTTCTAATGAACTTTTATCCCTGGTGCCTCGATTGTATGAATTTAAGCGTATTACTAAATTTACAACTAGATCTCAACGTTTTACTGTTGAAATAGCTAAATGTAACCGTAAGTTCTATTCTAATAGTTTCTTCTCTGTTACTTCTCGCCTGTAGAATTATCTTCCGGTTTCTTTCTCCCCTACAACCTACTATCTTCAGAAATTGTCATTGTTTTTATGACACAACCACATCCACAAATATTTTGGAAAGCACATAAACTCTGCTCATGTTATTTTGAATGCATGACAAGCCATAATTTATGCGATTTATAAAGTTGAGTAATGCGACACAAGGTGAGAATTAAAATCATTACACAATTGATAGACGAAAAGTAGTCGCAACTGGAGACGTAGAATCGGACGCCTAATTATTTAAATTCCGGATTATCTAAATAAAATTTCAAGGTGCCGTGAATATTTCATTATAAAACTTTGTCTGGAATACGTATCTGTTCTAAACGATAGTTTTTACTGTTTTATTGTCGTCACGTGATGTCAATCAGCTAATTTAAACAGTATGGAAATAATATTAGCACATAGACGTTAACTCCGCCAAAATGGATGCGTTCTTTCCGAAATGAAAAAAAAAAGATTCTACCTAGTGTTTAAAAAATTACAGAAAATCAGGTATTATCCTATTTAAATGGAATTTTCAGCATTTATTAATAAAACATACTGAATAGGGTATTTTATTAGAAAAAAATTGCACAGGTATTATTGGGGATTTAATTACACCCCTATTTCAATACATCATGAATACTTTTAAAATTGGTATTTGGGTGTTGACATGTAGGGATACAAAAGCCAATTATCTCTCGTTGATAAAGATAACTCACATGAGTCAGGTGATGGCCACTTAATGATGTCTCTCTATACATTGACAAAAGCGGTAGTCAATTTCAGTTTGTTTACAGTAGCCAACCGAGCGGCTACATTTTTAGTCTGGGTCAAGGGATCCGAACTCAGGCTACATCTGCATCCGCCAGCAAATGCTACAGCTTACAAGTTCATGGTGCCGTTTCTTTTTGGGAATATTCTTTCCCCAATATAGATAGAAAATCAGGCTCGAATTCCTCAATTTGGGAAAATCGAAGACTCGCAGTTTCCCCTACGTGGAATATATCATCGCCTGGGACATAGTAGATGAGTCGGCCCGTTTGAATTTAGAGTCCTAAACATGGCTTCTCCAGACATAAGTATCCCCATATTATATGTAAGACCCTTCCTTATGGTTTCTTCTCACACTCTGTTCCCTGTGTAGATATATTATTCTCAGCGTGGGACACTTGTATATATGTATATTTAGTTTTGTTTATGTCTTAGTATTACAAAAGTCTCCGTGAGAACAAAGCATGTTTGTCATTACGTTTCCTTTCCGCCATACCATTACATCCGTGAAATACGGTGTTATTATATCACAAATATAATAATGCTCATAACGGGGGAAATACAAATGGGAGAATAAATCTTTCATCCATAGCTCTCTCCAGTTATAGACAGATATTTTTTTATAGTTTTAAATGGGAAAAAAACCTGAAGATATTAATTCAATTTTTTTTTTCAATATTAAATAGAAAATCTTGAAAATTTATCATTAAACATTACAAAAATATTTCAACAAACCTCAAAAATAATTTTTGTCAACAGTTGGTTCTTGCATAGCTCAATGAAATACATTTTTTCTTTTTTACTGAATTTCTTTTATACTTCTAATGTAGTAAAAACATAAAGTTTTAAGTTTCATAAAAACGTACAGAAAAACCCAGTGATTCTCAACATGGTCCAGGTGGACCACCGGTGATCAGTATAGCATTTCAAGTGGTCCACAGAATTCGTAGTCATAAAAAATTGTAGCCATTTCACAAAAAAAGTATCTAAATTGTTCATACGTTGAAGAATTAAAAAATATAATATTTTGTTTAATTATATACATGTCCATTATATTTGAAAATTTCGAAATTATGTAGGTATTATAAAGTGCTATATTTATTTTATTTTTTTTTATCTAGAAGAAGAGTTGACAAAGAAGGTGTCTTTGCCTACATATCGATAAATGATTCACACCCAAATATTTTTCAACATGTAGAAGCAAACATCATTTCTTTCTATATGGATGTATGGAATCTGGATTCTTGGCTGTTGCTGATGTTTTCAATTGAAAAAGAAATACATTAGATGTCAACAGCAGAGTTAATATCAGACTAAGACTGAATGACATCATCAAAATTGATTCTGATATCTTGTGTAAGAAACACCAAGATCAATGTGTAGTCACTACCTGAATAGACTAAGACTGAATGACATCATCAAAATTGATTCTGATATCTTGTGTAAGAAACACCAAGATCAATGTGTAGTCACTACCTGAATAGACTAAGACTGAATGACATCATCAAAATTGATTCTGATATCTTGTGTAAGAAACACCAAGATCAATGTGTAGTCACTACCTGAATAGACTAAGACTGAATGACATCATCAAAATTGATTCTGATATCTTGTGTAAGAAACACCAAGATCAATGTGTAGTCACTACCTGAATAGACTAAGACTGAATGA